ATTCATTTTCAGGTTCATATGGTGAATTAGTCAACCTTATTTAATTTTGAGGATATAGTAACCAATTGTTATGTTGAAACTTTCACCCAGAAACAGGCCTAAATATTTGTCATGGCCATCTACTAAGTTGTCGCTTTACATCTTTTTTACACTAAAATAATATTCACTTTATATATTTTTGACGCTAAAATAATATCATGTTTCTTTCGCCAAAAGTAGTAAACATTAGAGGGCTGTTTGGTTGGTTTTTTTGGAGGGGTTTGGATTGGCTTGTCCAAACCCTTCTAAACTCAAACCCCTCTTTTACAAAGATGAGATTTAACATTTAATCTTATCTATACCCATGTTTGGTATGCGCACGGATATCTCACTATTATGATAATATATTTGTATATAAATGATCATTGTGTCTCTTAACCAATTTAATCTAAACTCATGTTTGTTTACGTACATTTTTTTGTGTCTTTATGGTTTTAATATATGATTATTATTTCTTCCTAACTTATGAAAAAAATCATGAATGCTGATAAAATATAACTATTATTCATAACCATAATAAAGCGCAATAAAACATTAACCCAACAAGACGCTGCAACATTCTAACATTTACATATACGAAAATACACACAAAACTTGTCCGTTCTCAAAAACATCAAACTGGACGGACATATTCCCGTTACACCATTTTAAACATCATTATATTGGTTACAAAATGCTCACATATATTGATGTCATTAATCATCAATGATAACCAACTCCACAGTCGGCCTATATGGAGACGTGACTGAAGTGGAGCCAGCACTGGAAACTGTAGATGTATTTCTGCCTTCCCCATGTGGCTCAAATATTTTTGTGAAGATCTCGTAATTGGGATAAGTCCGCACACACACTCAAGATGCGAAGGTGTCATCCTACAAAAAATGGCATGTTGGATTTATGGACACATGTATATAATAATTTGTATAGTAATATACATATGTAAAAACCTAATAAAAAATAAACCTCTAAAAAAGACACTCCTGCCAGATTGATCGGGAAAATAACTTGTTCTTCATTGTTCCAACGGAACAACTCCAAAGCCTCCATATCTTTCATCTTGTAATGACGTCTTTTTCAAAAAATAACTACTTCCATCGCTAGTCCCAGAGTTAATCGTGGTGCTTGCTGACATGCGCTTATTATCTACCACAGACGACTTCAGCTCCTTCAAAGAATTCACCCGTGTTGGCAATGCGCCTATCCAACTTAAGGTTCATAAGACAATCTAACAGAAAACCTTCTTCATCTTGTGTTAGTCTTAATTTCCGCATTTCTTTTAACCATGGTCTGATAATAATATCCATTACAAAATGAATGTGCAAGAAATTAGTTAATAATGTAGAAAAAATTTGTACAGTATTTTACTAATACCAATCCATAAAAGTGAATACATAAATTACAAACATAGCATAAGTTGATGAGGAAAATTTCAAGAAACATGATCATCGCACATGATCATTTGGTCAAACAAATTTCCCTGCAAATGAGGTCAAAATATTGCAAATTATGAAACCTAATATGAATGTTACTACAATGAGCATAATTCCATTTTGTGGGGCTGGTAGAATTTCAAGAGACGATTTTCTTCCAAACATTTCGTGTGACATGAGAATTCGTTAACGTGCTCCAGTGGGCCATGGATCATTCACAGTGTTGCCTTCCTGTGTATGCATTGGATTTTTATTTTGGTCCATCATTATAGTGAAAACATGTTCTGCTAAGGACTCTTGTGCAACTACGTATGATGAAAATGATTTTTAGAAAGAGCTAGGATATCCAGTGACAAGGTTGTGGCATTCTTGCCAAGTGTCAACAATTCCTACCTTTGGCCATTGAACACAACATATCATTTCTTCTTCAAACCCATGTTCAATCCTGTTATTGAAGAGATGGCTATTGTGAAATGTGAATAACACAAGGAATACACTACAGTTTTAAACACAAACATTAAATACCCAATACATAATAAGCATACAGAAATACATTTTGATGACATCAACACCCAAATATACTTCTACATTGTCTAAATACCACTTTCACACACAACATAGGAATGACAACTAAGAGGAGAATACTTAACATCGCTAAAATGATTCCAAAATAAGCGAGTGAGGATAAGTATTAATTGTTGATCACAGATGTATTACCCCATAGCACGCCAAGAAGCCATGCTGGTCTCTCATTTTTTGGCAATCGAATGAAGAGGTCCACCTTAATCGGGTCACTAGCAATCTTATAAGACGTCCTGTGTCGATGATCCATCATTAGGCCATTGATTTTGGCCAATTCTACAGTTAGTTGACACCTCGCCTCAGCAACATCTTGTTCGTAACCGACCATTTGAGCAATGTCTGAGAGTTGTTTTCCACAACTCGACACATCGTCACCAAGTATGTCTGTCATTTTATTTATGCTGCGTGCAAGTCCATCAGATGTTTCACCAGTTGTCTTCCTATGTTGTTTACGGCTTGTGGGTGTGTCCCCCTGTCCAACCACACCATGTTAAGGCGACATTCCAGTGTCTGCCATATTTACGTCAATATCTGAGGCATCCTTAGAATCATGCACCTGAACTCCCGCATCATCACCCCCAACTATCTCTTCTAAATCTTTGGCATACTCTCCCATTGTACGGTCTTTGCCAAAAATTATGCTCCAATAATTGTAGTAAGGTCAGCTTTTCTCACACATTCCTTTCGCATTGCAATCTTTTTGGAAAACAATAGGCCGTTAATGAAGGACATAAGGACGAAATTAGTGGGTTTGGGAAGTAAGTACCTTGACGTACTTAGCCCAAACGTCGTCTCTTTCAACATCTATCTTATGTTCTGCATGGTTCCACCCAAACCCTGACGTGCTTAGCATAGTGAAAAATGTGTTGTAGGCTTTCTTCCAATTTTTATTCTTCAACTCAATGTATGGAGTGGCACGTAGGTCAGTTCCGCTAAGTGCATCTGTTAAAGCCTTCTCCAAGTGGTGCAAATTGCCTGATCTGAACGCGCCGTTTTGGGCTTTCCAGCCCTGATTGCAAATGTCTTTCATCACATTTATAAGCAAAGATTCTTCAAACAATATCCACATTTGTCTCGGTCCCTTATTAAATTGGGAACTTCCCCTAAACTTTGAACTCCTGACATTTGCCATGTCACCACTACAAATAGCATTGAATCCACATGTACGCCTATAATTAAGTTAAATTTGCCAACAAAATATGTTTTCAAGAAACCTTAAAGACCTTTACATACACGCAAAAAATCTACTAATACCATTACTTGCATGGAATAGAACTTAACCAAAAAAACAAATAGGAGACGAAAGTAATTAACTAAAAACATGCAACAATTTGTACTGACTAATAGCAAGGTACCCTATTACACCTCCAGTCATTGTACATGTCAATCGTTAGTTGATCATGCCAAGCAGTCCAACCATGCAAAGTTTCAATGCTATCGATTATGTTATTATCATTCACATTCTCATCTCCAAATGGATGATCATCCAACTCTTCCTCTACCTTGGTTTTTCTTTTAAAGTTTGCCAATCCTCTTTTGTTTGCTGCTTTTTTGTAGATCAATATCACTTTGAGTATGGGCAAAAGCTCTAAAATAGTACTAAGTTCTGGAAATGAGGATTGCGTGATTCACATGGAAACTCCTGGTTTTGAAGGGAACTTTTTAAATAAAATCTCTTTTTATTCTAAGCAAATAACCCCCATCTATGGTGCTTACTTTTTGCTAATGGTCTTTCTTCTAGGTCATCCAGAAAAGATGGATGGGAAAATGACTGGGATGATTAGAGGATTGTATGTTCAGAAGAGTGAAAAAAGTTAAAATTTTTCCCATGAGAAAGAGATATTGGAGAAATGAAAATTTAAGGTCAAAACACTTTTCTTTTTTGGCAATTCATATTGCTTCTTGGTGACAAAGGTGTATATTCCTTTTGTTGCCTTTACGGTTTGTTGTGTAGTATAACATACAGTTTTGGCCATCCATAGGGTCTATTTCTTTCAAGCACATCTGATGTTGTACATTTTGTTCCTAGTAATACCATTACAGTGACAACATAGAGAATTTAAAGCACCTCTGTTATTCTCTTGAGATTGTGAAACCAATGATAAAATATGACCGTTTAGATTGATGAATTCTTCTTGATCCTTTGGTCTTAAAGCACCAAAAAAATGTTTACTCAATACAAATATATGGTATTCTTTGTTTATTTGGAATTTAACAATACTTAAAGAAGCAGATACCTGCTACAAAGAAGCTCATCATCCATACTCTATGTTTTTCAAGACCAAATCAACACTAAGCATGAAATTAATAGGCTTATAAACTTCTACACCTAACACAATTTCACATTCCATCACAGTCAAATGTTCAGGATGCAGCCACCTCCAAACAAACTAACAAAATTCCTTAATAATTTCACCTCTCTACTGTAAAGGTGTGGACATTTGACGCACAAGCAACATGTACAACTATTGTTCTAGTGATCAAATTTACTCAAAAACTACAATATACATAAAAAATTGACCAAAAAGAGCAAGCCTTGGCATACGATCTGCACACGATATTACCCCATAATCCTAACAAATTGAAGAAAATGCAAAGAGCCAATAGATAAACACAACATACAACTAGCTATATACCTTCTCATAAATGAGACCAGAACTCAATAAAAGACTACAAATAGAAGTAAATAAAAGACAGGATTTAGTTTGATAATACCTTAGAAAATCTGCGGTGATGAAGCGAGATGCAATATCGTAGGGTTGAGACAATAGAGAGATAGAGTGCTAAACTGACACAGAACAAAGAATCACAATTGACATGTATAAGTGTTTCGATCAAACAACAGGAAGTGTTTATATAGGGCAATTGAAGCATCTTTGAACAGTGATTGACTTGATAGGGCGAAGGAATATCTCTTCAACTTCATCCCTCACCATTGCTTTTCTTCCATCAGTGGCAAAGAAGAGGACAATCATGGGCGAATCTTTTTGCAATCTCAAGCATCCCCGTTGATTTCTTTAGCCGTTTCCAGTGAAGAGGACAAGCGTCCTCCCTCTTCCCATCGGTCTTTCCCACAGATTTCTCAAAGATTTTGCTCAGTGGATATCCCAGAAGATATCTGTGTTGATCATGTAGCTCACTTCCCACCACACACAGATCTGGAGTTGAATAGGGTAATATGGGTATACAAGTCATTTTGTATGCTAACCCTTTAACCCCCATCTCAACCCCCGGGTTTCATGAAATCCATGAACTTATGTTTCAATTGCGGGCTTAAACTGGTTTGGTTTTGGTAACGTGGGCTAGAACTTCACTTGCCAAACATGGGTTTGTGTGCAATCAGGATTTTATTCCCCAATCCATCTTTTATATCCCCCCTTGTCCCGCATGCCAAACAGGCCCTAGGTGTCATTAAGTTTAGTATTTTGGCTGAACATAATAGAAGTAGCCAAAGTTTATCTATGGTCTAGGCATAGGCATGTGGAGCAGGGTGGATTAAAAGTCACCCATCACATATAAATCACACAATATTAGAAAGGGTTTTTTTTTGCATTTTGTACTCTAAAAAAGATTAAATTTTTTTATATTGTACCATCAATATTTCAAAAGTGTTGCAATATAACCCTTCTATTAGCTTCCGTTATTTTTTTGTAAAAATTCAATCCATTGACACTAACGAAAAAATTAAGGAAAAATTATGAAAAGGTATATCATAAATTACTTATTTGTGAGAATATACATTAATATAAATCTTTTGTGTAAAAATCATTTTTTGTATAATTTTTTTGTGAATAGAGAGACTTTGACTTTTTTTAAATATTTATTTACGTAAAAGTCCTTTTCTCTTAGTTAATTGTGGGATTCAGTTTCTTATTTTATAGGAATAATTTTATTATTATTTTTATTCTATTTTAATGTTTAATTGGTTCCCTAAATTAAAGAATAATTAATCGTTTAAATTTTGAAAGGATTCTATTAGTTTTGAACAGATTTCCTATTCTCTCTCTATATCTGACTTTCACCCTTAAAATCTATCTCCCTATTTTCTCTCTCTCTCCCTATTCTCTCTCTCTCCCCCATTATTTTCTCTCTCTATTTATGCAATGTTATATTCAAGTCACATTGTGTGATACCCACCCTGTGCAAAACACTGCACATGATGTTTGATTTGCAGTGCAACATTGTAGTCACACTTTTGATGCCCACACCATGAAAAAACAATGTATATGATGAGTAGTTACATTGTGACATTGGATTCACACTGTGACACTCACCATGTGTTTTTGAATATTTATGTGAGTCACAGTGTGATACCATCCCCAAACCTTGTATATGGTATCTATATGTTGTGTGACATTAATGTCACATTTGCGATGCCCATAGTGTGAACCACAAACAGTGTGACATTGGCATCGTATATATATCACAATTATAAAACTTCTATCTCTCTTATAACTCTTTCTCTTTCTACCTCATATTATCTGAAGCTCAATGTAGCTCACAAGTCTCTGTCAATCAGCTTTCTCTCCCTCTCATATACGATGACCACCAATATAAAAATTAATCGCTAACACATTAATTAGAATTTTAATTATGATTCTATATAATGAAGAATTATTTTTAAAAATTTCAAATAAACTAATAGACATTAAATACAGATTCTTTGCATGAAAACGAGTCGAATGACTATAATATAAATTATATTTCGTATTGAAATAAAAATACTACAATATTTGAATGGTATATAATAACAAAGTTAATATTGTTTGTTTTGAACTTTTCGTAGCTCAGATTATTTTAAAATTATTGATCAAATGATCGAAACTCCTCCAATTTTTTTTCCTGCTCGAAAATTACAAGAATCCTTTCACTTTACTTAATTATTGGTTCGAAGTGATTATGATTAGGATTCGAATTGAGCTAAATTTGATTGTCGAGTATAAAATATATATTCTTGCTTAAACTTAACTTTGCTTGAATGTTACGGGTATTCAAACTGAAATTGATTGTAAAAATAATTAAAATTAATTAAATTAAAAAACTATGGCGTTACTATGAACAGGAATATATAAGAATTAGTTTGTAGGTTTAAGATAGAAGTGTTAATTGAGTCGAACTTAAATTCAATTCTCTATTTGACGTGATTATGATTAAGAATTTGACTGTTGAGTATAAGGTATAAATTCTTACTTAAACTTAAATTCAATTGAATTTTATGAATATTCTAATTAAACTCAAATGGAAACTGATCTTAATTTTCAACAAAATTTTTTGCATTTATGAGAATTCACGTGAAACTTTTGGGTGATTTGCTCACAAAAATTACACGAATTCACATCGAAAAAAAATGGTGCAAAGATAAAATTATGAACTTCAAGTAGAAACCTTCAAAAAAAATAGGTATATTTTTTAAAATTTGGGATAAATTTTATTAAAAATATTAAAATCGTAGATGTTTGATCAATAATAATTATATTTTCTCAGATGTTTGAATTAATATGTTACAGTATTTGTAGCGTGACTTTCATTATATAAATGTTTGATTATATATATTCTGCATACAGATTAAACAATGTCAATTTGATAATTGTATTATACATTACCTTTATTTATGAATAAATATTTATAATTTTTTAATAGTAACATATTACCTTTAAGCACTGGTAATTATTAATGTATTGATATTAGATCTAATATTGAAAGGCTTTGACATAAGATTTTTATCAGGTTCAACCCTTAATTATCTGAAATAATAGTTTTTCGAAAAGTATCGAAATGATAGTTATATAGTCAGGGAAAAAAATTAATGTAGGGGTTGAACTAGCAAGATTAAGGCAAGCCAATTAAACTTTAGAGTTTGGGTGTAAGACACATGCTTATCACAATGTCTCTAATGGATAAGTTGAGTACTAAGACTTAGTAATCTAATTTTATATGGTGTGAAGAATTGAAATGGATACAGATTTTTCGTTGAAGAAAAGGATCGATTAAAAGCATAGATTCCAGTTTTAATTGAACCCACCGATTTGATAACTCCCATTGATAGTAAAATTATCTGGTGGTATATATCACAATGGACCAAGTCAGGTTAATGACATCACTGATCATGAAATTAATGGATAACCATGGTGAATAAAGTTCACATGTTAAGAATAGAGGAAAGAAAAATAGAATACCATCAAAAATTTATTTCACATGGGTAAAACTAATTATATCCTAGTGATAGGAATTTCTTGAGATAGAAATTTAAGAAGAAAGTATCTTGAAAAGATTCTCAAGAGATTCAATATGAAGAATTACATGTTATTGAACACTGTTGTTTGCAATGGTCAAAGTCTAAACAAAAGAGTATGTGCCTTGATACAGATGAGGAAATATGAGAAATAATGAAGGTTCCCTATGCCCGAGAAATAATTTAGCCTCATGTATGCTATGACAAGAATTAGGCTTAATATTAGTCATGCGGTAAGATTGGTGTGTGGATATTAGTCCAATCTAGGTGAGGCATATTGACAAACAGTGAAAAGAATATGTGAGAGGCAAACAAGGTATGAAATTACGTTTTGGATTAAATTATCTAGAATTATTGGCTATTTTAAGATGCAGGTTTTGCATGGGGTTTAGATGATTGGATATCTACGAGTAGCCATTTATTCTTATTTGGAAGAATGTGTGTTTCTTGGTTATGCAAGAAGTAGATAAGGTGCATGGTGTATTAAGTCGTTGATAGGGTGTATCCAGGAAAATCTCTATATAGGCCTTAGGGGAAGTACTTGATCAAAATCTTGGGCGCAAGTCAACACATTGGTTAGATTTGTATTTGGCTGAAGTCGTTAATGGTTTTGAGGGTGTGGACCTTCTGATCCATAATACGGAGCATTGGTGTCGATCACTTGGTAATAGAGTGAATCGAAGTCACCTGAAGTATGTTATCAGTAATGATAACATATGTGGAAGGGTACAGTCAGACTCGATGGCAAAATCGTGCACACGTAGGTCCATCGCCATGATCAGATGCCAATCTGTGCGTAGTCACTGATAAGAGCTGATGTGGACAATGATTTGGTACCAAGGATAAACACCAAGTAAGAAACTTCGCCAATATGTTCAAGTGCGCTCAAGTGGGAGATGTTGACCCATGAATTGGGTGAACACACTTGAACATGCCACTCATGAATGAATATAATGCTTGGCGGTTATTTTCCAATGCATGAGGAGAAAGATCATAGAGAGACAAATATAAGTGGTTTGAATATGAACCAACATAACCCTTGGAATAGTTGTAATTGTGTCAGCAGTTGCAGCCTTTCCAAACGAAGAAGTCAGCATTGAATGAGTTTATAGAAACAAACGAAGAAGCCGACATAAGTCCTCACTTAATAATTTATATGATTCTACCACGGGCATTGTTGAATGAGACACATCTATAGCAAAATCAAAGAAACTTTACAAAACATTTATAATCTTATGAAAATTGGTCCATAGAGTGACCAGTAAAACAAAATTTCTCTGGCTTATGAATCTCAAGTTTTAGATCCAGTTGAATTCCAACTTCTATAGAAAAAGGTTACCAACATTGTAAGAAGCATCGAGTATAAGAAAATGTATCGCTTAGCAATATCATAAAAGCATTGCTAAGTGATGCTGGAAAATGTGTAATAGCACCAGTACAAGAAACAAGATGGGGGTTGAGAAACGAAACGAAACTAAACTGTCGATTTACGTACAAATACTTGTTTAGAATCCTAGTTTAGGCCTGTTGATTTATGCAGAATGTCATTCCTAAAAGTTTCAATATATATGTTGATTCCTAAGAATATGAGAAGAATTGAGTAAAAATAAAAATTCTTTCAACATTATTAATTCACTAAAAATTATTTTGCCCCGAAACTTACAAAAATTTATATAATTGTAGAAACCCTAAACTAAATAGAAACCTAGAATCCTAATTAACTTAGAAAACTAAATAAAATAAAAAAAGATAGTTTCCTAATTCAATTAAAAGATACAATAAAATCTTCTAGAATTTCTTAATTGAAAAACATTGACCACGTTTAAATAAAATACCAAAATTGTCTTAATCCATACTGCAACATTAAGTGTTTTAGTGTGAGTGTTTGTTCAATAATTATGTGAAATGTTTATTTTGAGTGTTTCAGAGTAATGTGTGCATAAAACTTTCATCTGGAGAGTCAGTAAAGTCACTATAATCTTTCAAATGTCAATAGAATCTTTAATATTCTTCTATCATTTCCTATTACTTTAATTTTTCTTTCCTCTTTAACAAAAGGAATCAAAACGTTACTAGCCCATAGTGAGAGTAAGAGGAACCTCCGAAGGCCAGAAGGTGTCACGTGTTAGTTCCAACAGCTTAAAGACAAGTTCTAGTGTCTAGAATCTGATATCTAAAAAAATATGGAAGTTTCAGGAAAAATTGTGAATGAGGATGAAGAGATGAAGACCCTAAAAAGTAAATGATGATTGGTGGTATAAAGTACCGAGAAGTATGAGTGGGGAGATGAGCTGCGAGTTAAGTGTGTGAGTTGGAAATTAAGATAGGTAAGAATGCACACGGTTAGAGTGGTTCGTTCTATTGAAGAACAAGAGTAGTACAATGTAATGGAGGCTATTGTTCTTTCACGTGTGTATTGCTTGAAGAAGAAGATGAATATAGGAGAGTTGTTTCTCTTGTTTAGGGCAGTGTCTAGGCTTACCCTTTATACAACGATAATCATTATTTTTATAACAGAAATGTTGGAGAATATTTAGTTGTTAGAGACTTTTTTTTCAAGATGTGACGTGAATTTTTAGAAGTATTGATGTAACCTTCTAAGGTGACGTAGGTAGGAGTTATAGGTGAAATTCCTCTTTTATCCCTTTTAGTAATTTTGGTCAGCCTTTAGTTCCATCATTGGTATGGACTCTTTGAGGTCAGCTTTGCACATGATGATCCACCTGACTAGTCCATTATTTGAATTGCCGACCAGACTTGTTCATCATTTGAACTGGCTCTTTTTTTTTTTCTTGATATCATTAATGATTATGTGTATATACCTAAAATATTTATAGTTATTTGTTTGATAAATTCTAGTATAAGCATTAGGCATGAACTTATCACAAATTGATTCAACTAGAATGAGGAAGTGAAATATTAGAACAACAAAAGTCTTGAAACAAAAAAGTCAATTAGAAAGGCATTTTGGGAAGAAAAAAAAACTTAGTGCACAAGCCTTTTATTACTGTGGCATATGGTTAGTCTATGCACTCTTACCCTGTAGGCAGGGAGATTATTTTCATAATTTGGACTAATGAAACCCAGGTCATAATATAAAAACTTCACTGCTCAGATTAATTTATTTACGGATGACCCACAAATCGTACGTTTACCGGCATCTAATGGAACACTAACACGTCAATTGAAAGTGTCAAACCCAAAAAATTAGAGAATTTTAGGTCATGCGCCCTATTCACGTCTTTGCAAACAGGTCAGCAACCCAAAATTTTCACCACCTTACAAATCTCCATCATTCCCCTATTAAACTCTCAATTATAAAACTACATACTAAGCTCAACCCTTTTATATCCACTCCACAAATGATAATATTACTTCACTTTAGGGGCATTTATAATATTACCATATTTGGGGATTAATTGTGTATAATATTTTACAGTAACTTCAACACACTCTATTTCTCATTTGTTAGCTATTTTTCCTAGCCAAACACGAGAAAAACTTTCCAACCTAGTCTCTATCCTGTTCTTTATTTTTCATTTTACCCAAATGGTTCTCCAAATTTAGAGAGGCATTCAGCCTCTCCAAATTTTCTTTATTTATATGTTGTAATCCCTTTCAAATTATTGAAAGTTAATCAAAGTTAAGTGAAGTAATTAACTAAAATAGAGAGTGTGGTTGAAATAAACTTATAGAAGTTACTTATGTTGCAATTGTCTTTAAATTATTGAAAGTTAAGTGAAATAATTAGTTAAGATAGAGAGCGTGATTAAAATGGAGGGGTAGAAGTCACTTTTAAATATAGGATAAATTACACTTATGCCCCCTAAACTGTCACCCTTTTTCAACTTTACCCTTCAATTACTAGATTTTTTACATTACACCCTAAACTAATACTTTTGTGTCACATTGTCCCAATCATAAAATATTTGTCATTTTTTAGTTAGAAATCGTTGATATGTCAGAGTAAAGTGAAAAAAATTACATAATTTGGGGGCAACATGAAATAATTTTTCGTTAAATATATAATGGACATTAATTATTGGTGTAATATGAAACTAATTGCATAATTTGAGAAAATCTAATAATTAAGGGGACAAAGTGAAAAAAAAAGTGTTGGTTTAAGGAGTAAAAGTATAATTTATTTTTAAATATATTTTGAATAATTAAAATAGAGAGTTTAGTTAGAGTTTATTCATGCAACAACGGTCAACCCTCAGCCGGTAGAGTGTCCACAGTTGCTGTCTATTCTTGTACGGTATTCAGTCTTCTCTTCCCGACTTACCGAAAAAAAACTTTCAAAACATTGGAGAGAAAACAACAGAACAGGAAGTCAAGTCTTGCACCAAGAGCAGAACACCCATCGACAGGTTTGTGTGTGCTTCATAAACTCCAACAGTTATAATTTGTATAGAATCGCGTTGCTTTCGTCATGATCTTGGTTCTGAATAGTCATGGGCAATTGCTTTGATTCTTTGACTTTCCTTTTCTTGGTCATGCATATCTCAATGCGAATGCTTACATACTGTATTGGCTATGTTTCTGAACTTTATATTATCAGTTCTCATGAATGGATGAATTCATTTGTTTGACTAATCAATTTTCTTATTCATCATGGTTTTGAAAGTCAACGCAGCTGTTAGGACTTGAATTAGGATTGGTACCCTTATCAGTCCTGTTGGGACAAGATTTGGGTGTTTGGCTTTAGTTTCGCAAATTTTTTCGGAGGAGGAGGAGCTAGTCACTGACAAATTGAGCATCCCCTTTCGGAATACCTCATCCTCATGCTTGAAGCTGGTGCAATTTTCAATCGCCTCAGATGAGCATTCTTCATGCATGTTCCGTAGGCAATTTCATCATTAAGGTTTTAATCTAGTAATGCATTAATGTGGGTGTGGATGAGGATGACCACAGAACATAGACCCCGATACTTATTAATTTATTTGATTGGTAGGTTATGCAATTTCTATTGTTTCAGTTGATGTGTTCTGTTTCTCAGTTGAACATTATCGCTTGGGAGATTATTCTTGTTGCTGAACCGGGTAGTTCGCCTGTAATTTTGCCCTTATGCAAAAGAAACAATGTGACGATAATAATAACAGCATATAAAATCTCAAAAAATTTTAGACTTAACTAGTTTTCTTTAGCTGAAAAGTTGCTGCTTAAATAAATTGAAAAGCATTAGAGCGAGTAGCTTATTCAAACATTCCAAGAATCTAGAAGCACAATCCGTCTGTATTCCCAGTCTTCAGGTGATCTTGATTTAGGTACCAGTTTTCGAAATTTTGTCTTAAAAAAAAAAGCATTCAGCAGGTTTGATGCACCATATTGATTGGGATGGGAGTTGAATACTCCTGAAATGAAAGCCTGTATATGGTTCTCCAATTGCTTTATGCAAATGGCGGATATTAGTAATTACAAGTGGAAGAGGACACCAAATGTATTTGCTTATTTGGTACTGCCCACACATTTCACGTGCGAGCCCCCTTCCTATCAGATATAGTTAATGATAATTAAGATAACGACAATGGGTGAGAAACTGAGAAGGGGAGCATGACTGTGGAGTTCATCAAATTGCATACTTATGTCATGAATTTTATTTGCCTGGAATAAAGCCATATTTTGAGATCATTGATCTTCAACAAAAAACAAATCTTCACTAAAAACCGTATTCTATTTTTTAAAAATTAAAAGCTTCCGGGATTTAGCCTTCCGGCAGCAAAAACAATTAATATTTCGAGTTCCACCTTTGCCTCCACCTTGAGCTTTGGTTGCTGAATGATTCAGTTACAACCTTGATAACCATCACCTTCATTTCCCCTTCTTGTACTTCCATCTCGGCCACTCTCATTATCCAAAGCAGCACTTTTTCCGTGGTTCCACCTGGACCACCACAGCAGCATTGGCACTGTCACTTAACAGCAAAGCAAGTTATGCCGTAAACTCCACTTCCCTTCTGACATTTACCCCTTTCACATCACCGATGTCTCAGCTAATGAGCACTCAAATTTCAAAATGAAAGCAGAAAGTTCCAAACTTCTGATAGTTTCATGTCTGAATTACAGGCCACAAACTTCTTAGACCTAGATCATGAAAGTTTAAAAAGAAAACAACATGACCTCAGATACTTAGAAACTTAATTTATGTGACTGTAGTAGAAAGTAGAAGCCAGATTCGGCATCAAACACTTAACTTTTGTGAATCTGCAATTCGGTTCTTTAATCCTGTCTACTATTTTGTGTATTTACTTCTCCGTTTTATTTCAGTTATCTCTTGCTCCAAAAGCTGAGGGAAATGACCGGATTAGTGGCAACATTTCTTGTTGTTGCTGTTCTCATAATGTGTCTTGGAAGTGAAGTGAGATCAGATGCATCTGATCATCACTACAAAGCTGGGGATCCAGTCCCTCTATATGCCAACAAGGTGGGCCCGTTCCACAACCCTAGGTAAATTTCTTGATCGGTCATTCAATGCATGCTTATACATTCAAGTATTTGGTGTTGGTTTCCAGTCAATCAGAAAGTTTGCAGTTATTGATGTTAGTTCTATCCCAGTTCTTTGTTCATTTGAAATTTACTTTCTTGTTTATTAATAATAAAATAAATGATTAAAGATTGTATTCAGTGGTTCACAGTTACAGATATGAATGTTGAAATCATGTCTGGATCTCTGAAAGTGTTTCTTCATATACTAGGCCATAATATCCCTATTATGGTTTTGTTATCCCATATTCATTTTTATTTATATGCTAGATATTGCATGCTTGGGAATTTGATGTATGTGGCGGAATTTCCGTTTCAGTTCTGTCTAGTGTATTGATTTGATTGTCCACTTAGAGTTCATAGCGAAATTTCCTAGAGCTTTATGTGGCTCTTACCTTGTTTGACGACTTTCATTGGGTGACTTATTGCCTTTGATTGCTAATTTTGTGTTCTCTTGACTATTTCTGATTCCAGCGAAACATATGCATTTTTTGACTTGCCCTTCTGTTCACCAGGTTTTTATCTCTACCTATATTTCATATTTAATTGCTCCTTATATATGTTTTAAAATTTTTAAGTTGATCTAATGACAGACCCTGTGAAAGAGAAGAAGGAAACTCTTGGTGAGGTGTTGAATGGGGATCGATTGGTTTCTGCTCCATATAAGATCGACTTTCTAGTAGACAAATATTCTCAAGTGGCATGCAGAAAGATGCTAACAAAGGAAGAAGTATCTCGGTTTCGAAATGCGGTTGTAAAGGATTATTTCATTCAAATGTACTTTGATGACTTACCAATAAAGGCTTTCATTGGAAAGACTGACCATGGTGGTGTAGTTGAACAAATCCAGTACAAATATTTGCTTTTCAAACATTTGCATTTTCATATTTTTTTCAACAAGGACCGTGTGATTGAGGTCGCTGTTAGAACAGACCCTCAGTTCTTTGTGGACATATCAGAGGACAAGGAAGTTGACGTTGAGTTCATGTACACTGTGAACTGGAAAGAAATACAAATTCCTTTTGAGAAAAGAATGGAGAGATACTCATTATCTTCGACACTGCCTCGTCACTTGGAAATTCATTGGTTTGCGATTATGAACTCATGTGTGACCATTGTCCTATTAGTTGGCTGTTTTGTGACCTTTTACATACGAGTCCTTAAGAAAGATATTATGAAGTAAGAAACATTTATAAATATAGATCAGTATTCATTTGAACATTCATGGCATTTTCTTTTCATCATGTATTATTCATTTGCTTCATTCTATTACTTGAAAGATATGCACAAGATGAGGAATTATCTGACAACCAAGAAGAGACTGGATGGAAATACATCCATGGCGATGTGTTTCGGTATCCAAAGCATAAGTCCCTATTTGCTGCCGCTATAGGTTCTGGCACCCAGTTCTTTACTCTGTTAGTATCTTCCCAAAACTATTTTGCCAAGAGATGTGAAGCTGTATTCAGCCATTTTCAAATCAAGTGGCATCTAATTTGTATTTTTCTTTTCAATTTATGCATTTGCAGTATGGTATTCGTTCTCATTCTAGGACTGGCTGGCATATTCTATCCATACAACCGAGGTCGTTTGTTAACTGCACTAGTGGTCATATATGCAATTACATCTGTGATAGCTGGTTATACTGCAGTTTCTTTCTATTGTCAGCTTGAAGGACCAAACTGGGTATGTGCTGAAGTGGTCAATATACAATTAATTTTGGTTTTAAAACAGGTTTATAACTTGGGTATCTATTTTTATAACGGACTTTGCGTACTAATGAGGTCACTCGGTTTTTGGGTTGACAGGTGAGGAGTCTGCTGTTTGTAGGATGCATATTTTCTGGGCCTCTATTCGTTACATTCTGCTTCCTTAATACTGTTGCAATGGCTTTCAGGGTAACTGCAGCACTTCCTCTGGGTACTATTGCTTTAATATTTCTCATATGGATATTTTTTGCATCACCTTTGCTTTTGCTGGGCGGTATTGCTGGAAAAAACAGTAAGTCTGAGTTTCATGCCCCCTGCCGCACCAGTAAATGTCCCAGAGAGATTCCAACACTGCGTTGGTACAGGGGCCTTCTTCCTCAGATGGCATTGGCAGGCGTTCTTCCTTTTGGTGTTATCTACCTCGAGATATACTATATATTTGCCAGCATTTGGGGTCATCGGGTTTACTCAACATATGGTATCTTGTGCATTGTCTTTGTTCTTCTTCTGGTTGTGACTGCTTTTGTGGCTTTGGCTTTGACATATTTTCTGCTTGCTGCTGAAGATCATGAATGGTGGTGGAGGTGGAGTAGTTTTCTTGCCTTTTTCTTTTTCCTGAAAACAAAAAATCTCATTGACTTATACTTTTGTGCCACTGTTATATAGTTTGCTATTTCTAAATCTCTGACAACTTGTTTTGCACTTACGCTTTAGCTCTCCTTGTTTTCCCCTTTCTTCTCTATTCTGCACATATCTGGCCTATGTGCAAGTATTTAATACATATAACTCTGTCTCTTATGTCTCACAGTTATGCATCTGAAATTTCATTTTCATCTAAGTTTATTGTTTGATGTTTGACTCAAAAACATGGATGCTGTTCAAGTCCTTTCTTTTTCGTGAATAAGATAAATGTATTGTACATGTGGATAGGGTTTTGTCTGTTCATGTTTAAGAACTACTGGTTGACGATTGTTATTGTCCCGAGTCTTTTGGATGTTGCTTAGTGGTTCGAATTGCATGCAGATAGTGCATACAGTATCTCATCAGAGTTTTTTCTTAGCCTACTAGCTCAATATATAGAACTGTGATACCAAATGCTGTTGTTAGTGTTTGACTAATGCAAGTGCTTCAATCAATGCAGGTCTTTTCTTTGCGGTGGATCAACTGGCTTGTTTATCTACGGCTACTGCTTTTATTATTACTTCACACGAACAGATATGAATGGCCTCCTGCAAAGTTCCTTCTTCTTTGGTTACATGGCTTGCATCTGCTATGGTATATTTCTCATGCTTGGGACCGTGGGCTTTCGTGCATCTTTAGTCTTCATTCGTTACATCTATGGGTCGATCAAGTGTGAATAGTAGTCTGAATCATTTAAACTACATTCTGTCTTTCCTCATTTTGCTCTACAAAATGTGGTTTAGAAAGGTCTGCAATTTTTGTTGGATTATGTTCTAGGGGTGTTCCAAGTTTGAGTAGTGATGGAAGCAAAATGTTCTATACATGGTGTCTGGAAAGTTACGTTTAAGTTCTCGTGTGTGAAGCATTGGCATAGAGGGCTTACTGATTTTCAGGTATCTATATTCTGAGAGATATTTGTCTTAGGAAGAAACATGTACTATATGACACCTTTGTTCTCAATTGAATTTCTAGCTTTTCATAGATGGTAGTGCTGTGAGTTGCACTGCCCTTCATCCAATTAAATGAAGCGTGGCAGGGCCTCTTAAGATTATGAATAAGTTATTCATTTTCCGTCCAACTGAAGTGAAGAAAAGACATTCGGCATCATAGTAATAGAGTAGTCAATCTGATCTCGCTCACGGGCGGATAGAAAAAAATGCCTATAAATGATGTAGGCGAGGGTAGTTTGCTGGCAAAAGGCATGTATGGTAGTCTTTTACTTAGCCGTGTACAAAGGAAAAGGCTTCGGTAGGGAATCAGGTTAGCTGTGGAAATAGACTAGACTATAAAGAACGGAGTCTTAAAGTATAGGCCAAGACTACACTAAGGAACAAGGAAGCATGACTGAGTTCCTTATCAAAAGCAACGGCCTTTTTAATCTTAATTAATGCTCAAGAAGATGATCTGAACGTATCTCTAGGACACCAAACCAAAAAAAAATCCAAGCCTAAAACATCCAAGCAGCAAATGGCAGGAAATCATGATGACTAAGGAATAAGTTCTCTTTCTCTCTGTGCTTATTCCCTTAAAAATATTAGGGATGAGCATAGGGAAAACAAATAACTAAGCTATTGTAATCTTATCACACAAATCATGTATGACATCATAAAAATATACTAGTTATTGTCTGTGCTTGAAGACATAAAGTAATAAAAAATGGTGAACAATAAACATATTTGTATTCATATCCAAAATCAAATCACAAACATAAAGAAGAGATAAAAGAATTTAAGCATCGATTTGTATTGGAGTGAGAGGTGATGGGCGGCAGTGGTGGTGGTAGGAGACGGTGATAATTGTGGTGGGTGACAATGACCGTGGTGGCGGCAAGGGCGACGATGATGGTGGAAGCGACGGCGGCGATAGTGGTGGTGGTGACGGTGATGGTGATGATGATGGTGGCGACGACGGTGGTGGCGGGGGGGCGATGGTGGTGGTGGGGGGGTGGTGGGGGTAGAGGTAGTGGTGGGGCTGTTTCAAACACTATTTTCTTTAAAGTATTTATGAGAAATAATTTCTAAAAGTACTTTTAAAAAGTCATTCCAAACGCACTCTTAGAGATATATTTTTTCTATTAAATTTAGGGTATTAATATTAATCGTTAGATTAATTTTAAAATAAAATTTAAAGCGATCTCAACTGCGAATAGCAAAAATTATTTTGTTTATATTTTAATATTTGAATTGTAAACTACTTTATTTTATAGATTAGTTATTACTCGTATTTGAAGACATTAGGCGATAAAAAAAATAACAAAAAAAGTTGAGCATTGCCAAGAGAAAAAAACGATGCACATAATAATAATAATAAATAAATAAATAGAGCCGATGAATATATGAAAAATGGACAAAATTACCTCTAAAAACATAACAAAAAAAAATTGAACATGTATATACAATTTACATATTTTAACATTGTACTTTAAAAAGCAATTTCTAATTACATATTTAACATTAGTCATAACCCGTGCCTGAAGGCACGATAGAACAAAAAATTTGAGTTCTAAAAAATCGATATTACTATATTAAATAATATTTTTTCGTTATTTCATTTGTTTGATTAAATCATTCATAATTTATTTTTATCCATTATGTTCTTCAAAATATTGACAAAATTTTCTCAAAATATGTAATTTCATAATTTTTTTTAACAGATCTATACTATTGATAATATTTGAAATAAAAATTATGTTAAATTATAAATTAATCAAATATTAAATGGTTGAATATGCGATAGAAATGAGTGATGTGATGGTTTTAAGGGATGAGAAATATATAAGGGATAAAATTCAACTTTCTGTGTGTTTTATTAAATAGATTTGTATAGATATAAGAACATATGATAACAGAGGAATTAGAAATGAATGAGATTTTGACATTGACTTTATCAATTATAATTTTTATTATAAAAAAATCATTTTTAACTATAAAAATTATTAAGATAAAAAAATTTAAAAATTATAAAAACTTGATTATGTAACCAAATGAGTGATAATATGATGACTAATATTATAACAAAGTTATAATACGACGTTTTAAAAAAAAATCATTGAAATAATATAACGATTGAAATTACGTTTGTTGGCTGGCTAACGCATATATAATGGAGAAAAAATTGATGACATTTTAGTCTATTTACATAATAAAGAGTAATTTTAATATTTCTATCAAATATTTAGTTAAATCATTATTTTAGCTACTGATAGAGACAAAATTTATTGTTATAGGGGTTGTTATTAAATTTAAACTCAACTACATGGTGTTTAGATGAAACTTTTCCTAAGATATAACATGTAGATATAATATGTCTTCGATTTGTGTACTATATATTTGTACAATAAAGATGTGTGTGTGATATGAACAGTAAAGATGGAGAACAGCTACATTAGGATATAATTTTAGGGAGACATGTGTCTCAGTTTGGAAAGAGAATCATGAAAGATGAGAGTGTGAGGGAAAATCAATATCCCAGTATAGAAAGTGATCCCTTAACATAAGAAATAAAATCAGAGAAATAATGATAAGAGTTGTAATATGTATTTTAGGAAGAGAGAGACAAAGTTGAGGAATGAGAAATCGTTTAATTGTCGCATTTGATTGGGTTGGAGAATTAAATTTAGGAATGTTAGTTTTTAGAAACTAAAAGTTTTGAGTGGCAAAAAATTTTCAAGAGCTAATATGGTACGTCGGATCAAAATGATCTGAGACGTTAATAGCATGAGACAGTTTGAGATAACGTCATCCGTTGAATTATAACTTTTTTGGTTATGAAACGATCTGAGCTGCTCTTTGTCTCTTGAATTTAAAATCGTTTTCCTTTATTATATAGATTATACCTTAAACAAAGGCTATGGGGGGCATGATTGACGCGTGTGGAAATGGAAAGTGTTTGGGCAGGAAATTTTTTTTTCTCAACCTAATCTTAGCCATTGGATAAGAAATTTGGACAAATCTGGACTGCAAAAATTAAAAGTCATTCTTTATATTGAATTGCTTTTTACTTTATTATATAAATTTCATTAATCTATCTTAGCTGAATTTTAACAAAGAGATACATACGACGTAAGATCATGATAATTTAATTTCAACATGAAGCGACTATTTTTGTTTTGTAAGCGATCGAAACAATACTCCGAAATAAAATTAAACTATTCGAGCTCCCTTTGGTGGCTAATAAATTCACAACACCCAAATTTCTGAGTATTGAAATAATTTGGAGCGACATTACCAAGTGGGTAAGAGAGTAGAGGACACAACAATGTGGGCCAAGAGAGGCCCAATAACTTCGAGGGCCACTTAAGGACACATCTAAGAAATGTCAAATTAAAAGGAAGAGGGGAGAGAGAGTAAATGAAACAACAATGTAGACCAAGTGAGGCCCAAGAAATGCCAGGTCCCACTTAGTTTTGATTCGATTATTAAAAAAATGTATGTAACCAAGTAGGTGTACATTGCTTTTAACAGATATTTATCCGTGGTTATATTTTTTAGAATATTTGACTTTAATTATCATAGTCACACTTATATTCTATTAAGTTCTCATTTTTATTAAATTATTGTCATTAAGTACATATATCAAATTCTTTTTTTTTGTGTTACGTAATTACTCCTGTGATAAATATTGTCTATCATTGTTAGTTTCAATATTTTTAAATATAAAAACTCTTAATTTGAGAATTGTGATAGTATTAAAATAGTAATATCAGACAGTAACATGTTCAACAAAAAAATAGTAACATGCTTAGTAAAAAACTTAATTAAAAATTTAATATCATTTCAATAGAGTGATATCATATGTAATTACTTATTTTTTTGTGGGAGTGTCACTCTTAGGGATTTAGGTTGTTGTAAAAGCTCTTAAGGTGGAAATATAGTTTTCTCTCTTGAAAATCTCATTAGAAGCTTAACTTAGATGTGAGAAAAGCTCTCCCTATATAAAAGTATAGAATAAGGGTAGTCTGAGTAAATAAGAAAACTCAGATTCGTGAACGATCGCTCAATCGGTGAGAGGACAGTCATAAGATCGTTATCTCTGGAGTGAAAACAACATTTCAAGCACGACTAAGACAAACACTACTCGAGCGACTATATGCATTGCTCGGGCGACCATGAAGATCGCTCGAGAGATCTTATAGAGCGAGCCCTGTATTGCCTTTCGTGACTTTTTCTCATTTCTTTCCCTAAGTCATAAAGAGACCATTCTAGCGAGTATAGATCGGTCTCTATAGATTTTTGAAGCATAAAATTATGCAAAAACTTGTCCTCTTGAGCATTGAGTGGTGTTGTGTTGCTCAAAGAGGGATTCGATTGTGACTCAAAGTATATTTTTCATACTCATAAATGGTTTAGAAATTTTTTTCTTTTAAAATCACCTAAGAGTCATAATCGGGTTGCTTCCCATTTCATTTTCATCCTAATCAACTTAAGTTAAAATAAATAAGGGTTCATCTTTGGTGTCTAGGTCATTACCTTTGTTCTAAGTATAAAGGTACATACGGAGGTTGAATGATATTACTTTGATGCTTGATTTCCTCCTTCAAAGACACTTTCGAATCTTGAACTTGATAGCACCTTAACCATGAAATATGTTTAGATTTTACAATTGACTCCACAAAGTTACTCAATTACAAATATGATTTAATAGTAATCTTGACATTCTTAACAATTTACGAATATCTGTTGTACAATTGAACAAAATGAGTTGGCTCACGAATAGCTTGGGCTTGGCTTGGCTCGACTCTATATCCAAACCTAAAAATTTGTTCAGATCCGCCTCAGTTTGTAATATGAGAGAGCTTGAGTGAGATAAAAATGAGCCGATCTCGAGTTACTCTATTCATTTAATAACCCCACCTCATACCTTATCTCTTTTCCTTTTCAAATTGTGAATTATCTTTTGTGTAATTATAACATTATCAGTTGTTTGTCTCCCTGAAATGAAACTACTTTGATTAGGACTAATAAGTCGGTCTGGGAAAAGATTTAATTTTACAACCAAAATTTTAGAAAGTATCTTGTAGCTAACATTGCACAGACTTATGTGTCTAAATTGAGAGATGAGGGTTAGATTTTCAATTTTGGGAACCAGAGTAATCCACATCTTATTAAGCCTTGTTACAGTCTAGACTACGATCTATGAGTGTGGAGACTTGGGGGTAGTGGATTCATTGATCCAAATAGGATCTAATATATTCTGTGTCTTCAGTTTTGATACCTTCTTGCTATGTCAGCCATACACCATGTATCGTCTTTTATTTAAAAGCTCTTTTAGCAATAAAAAACTATGTTAGACATTGTGATAAACTTTCTTGTGAAATTCTTGGAGGTTGTGTTTCCCTTGAATTGAACCACAGAAGTTTCCACTCCTCTTAAAACGGGTTTCTTACTTGATTTTATTTTCCTCTCGGTTTTGCAAACTTCTTAAAAGGTGAACGCATTAAACATATATTTTTTTTGGACAAGATTGTTTTTTTCGCATAAAAAATACATAGAAAAACGTTACCACACAGTATATAAACTTATGTAGCTGAAACGAAACATTTGGTTACATTCTCACATCCCAGCATTCCAGTTACACAACAAGCATGCATCCATTCTTGGGTCCGTTGTCTGTCCTTATTTTTATTTTGAGCATTAAGGAGAATTCTTAGTCGAAATCTTTAATTTATTCCTCCGCATCCAGCTCCAGCGCAAGATCATGAGGTCCTAAAACAGAAACAAATGTGACGCCTTTGCGTTGAGGAAGCTGGCTGATCTTGTCCGACTCTTCCTCCGTCAGTGACCAATCGAATATCTGAAGGTTTTGCCTCATTCTCTCCTTGTTGTAGCTCTTTGTCACCAAACTCACCCCTTGTTCGATCACCCATCTCAGGGAAACCTGAAGAGTATAAGCCAATATGTGAGTCAATCCGCTAAAATTTTGTTTTGATAGCTAAAGCAGCGTCGGATTTGAATCATTTTCTAATATACTTTTCCTCTCAATCGTAGAAGAACCATCATATATACTCAAATATGAGTCATTATATGAGACCCTTTTTTGCCTCAAATGGGATACACTATATATAACTTGATCTTTCACTAATATAGATTACGTGATCTACTATTGAAGTAAATTAAATAAACGGGTCTTAGAAAAGATTGATCTACTCATTTTTTTGTACTTCTTTATTTGAGTTTCTCATCACATTGTTTTTTCTAACTTACTTGCTTGAATTAATTTTATACTGTTCCAAAGTAAAACTTGTAGATTTCAGCATGTCAATAGATTTTGAGGCAAAGTTAAATAAAATTGCTTTGTTTCTTTTGAAATTAAATAGAAATCCATATATTTTTAAGGAATCTTTGTCTTTGAGATTGAATGAAACTAACAAAAATTTTCAATTATATATTAATGGCCGGCAGCCACAGTTGACTACTAATTGACCGGCAGCCACAGTGGACCATATGCAATAAATATAATCATTGTATTGAAAGTTTAAAGAATATGGGGGTAAAATCAAGGGTTTTTGTTTGAGTGTGAGTACGTTTTTTTAGACTAATTTGAACAAAAGTATATGAATAAGTTGTTTACTTTATTAAATATAATTTTTATAAAATTTTTTGTATTTAGGTACAAAATTCAAATGAATTAAATTTTTTTTTTATCTAAACACCCTCCCTTAAATTATGCAGTAATCATGAACAATTATTTGAGGAAATAAATATGTAAAGATTAATAATAGTAATGAAAGGTAAAATAGAGACATTAAAGATCAAAACCATTGTTCTTCGGCAACATAATTCTATGGCAATGAGATTTGATTAAAATGTCACAAATTATATGCGAATAAACATTGAATTTTCATAAAAAAAAATAGAATTGACCAAGATGTTTTGTTAGATATTATGTATTGTTCGTTGTTGAGATCTAGGGAAAAAAGAACTTATTTATTTTTTTTAATGGGTGTAACTATTTTTTTTAATAGGTATAACTATTTTTTAATTGGTGTAACAATTTTTTAATGGGTATAACTATTTTTTAATGCGTGTAGCTATTTTTTTAATGGGTGTAACTAATTTTTTTTAATAAATTTAACTATTTTTTAATGGGCATAACTATTTTTTTTTAATAGGTGTAACAATCACAATCTCATGCAATTGTTAAGGCATGATGGTGTAACGATACCGAAATACTAAATGGTGCAACTATTTAATTTATGTAAACAACTGAATGATAAATTGAGTTAATGCCATAATTTTGTGTAATTATTTTATATAACTGTTTGGTTTATTAGAACGTATGAGTAACTGTTTGGTGTATTATAGGATAATTGTAACTGATTGATATAACTTATTAGTGTAATTGTATTGTTGTAATATTAATATAAATAGAGTAAAAGAAAATAGGGAGAGATAGAGAAACTGTTAGAAAAAATATGCCCTTATTTTACCTCTCATTGCTTGATTGTTGCCAAAATATATAGAAGGAATACAAAGAATTTCAACTTATCAATTATTTATTGAATGACAATATTGTCATTTTTTAAAAATATGCACTTTAACCTAAATAAGATTTTGTATTGTATTTTTGCTCAAATAAATCTAAAAAATTGTACTAGCTTTCAAATCACCCTAAAATCTATGAAGTACAGATACAAATATGAGATACGAGATATGAGTATGATACAATATGATATAGATACGACGATACGACAAAATTTAAAAAAATAGAATACGGGTACAGTCAAGATATGGTTATAATAATATTTTTATTATTTTCAACCAAAATAATACTTATATATTTTGGTAGTTCTTTAACACAATAAAAAAATTAGTATTTTTTTTTAGTTTCAAGAAAATATATATCGTATCAATATGGTATATTTTACAAGTGAAATGATTAATTAAAAGAATCAAAGTTAATATTTATCGAGTCGTTTTATTTAGAAGTAATTTTGATAAGATTATAATATAATAGATTTATTTTATGCTTTTTTAACATGTAATTGTAGATAATACTTAAAAAAATGCTCATGTGCCTTTGAAGTAGTATGAATTTTTCTAAATGTATTGTATGGTACGCGAATTTGAAAGAAAATGTTAAAAATTAGAATTTAAAAATTATATATATTGCTTGAACACAAAAGCATCCGTGAAGTATTATAATATTTAATTATTATCAGATACGTAAGAGGTGTATCTGATACGTTTCCTCGAATATCCGACGAGTATCGTATCCAATACCGTATCCGATATGAGTACGCCGATCTTAACAAAATATCCAAGCTTCAAACGGTAAAATATATTTTTAGTCCTCAAAGTATGTGCTTAGTGTTTATTTAGTTTTTAATCTTTTGATTATATCTATTTGGTCTCTAAGGTTATTAATTTGTATCTATGTGGTCTAATTTCAAATATCTATTAAAAAATTGTGACAGTTCTGGTCACGCACCAATCACGTAGTTCATAAGTTTGTGTCTATTTGGTCTCACGTGATTGACTCATAATTAGAGGCGTTAAGGATTTTTTGATGGACATTTAGAATTGGACCACATAAATACAAATTAGAAACCTTAAGAACCAAATAAACACAATTGATAAATTAAAGACTAAATAAACACTTCACACATACTTTAGATACTTTAAGAATTAAAAGTGTATTTTACCTTACAAGATAATAATATGTTTCATATGGCCGACATAACAAGAAAGAAGCATGTTTCAGGTGGCGAGCAGATGTGGCTTTGCTTTATATGAAGAGAATATACTCTAATGCTTATGTATAGTAATTTTTTAATTAAATTTAGATATCAAACGGCATGACATTAGATGATTAGTAAAAGCAAGTGTAATTTGTTTATCCAACCACTAAAGTTGATATGGTAAAGGTAGAGCATTGTCCGAATATTATATTAAAGGAAAGCGTTGAGAAGTCAAAACTAAAACTGTAAGAACCTGGGCAGCAGTTTTCCCTTTGGCCTTGGCGATCTCTTCCAGCACATCGCACTCCACAATTCTGTTGTCTCCCCATCTAGTTCCATTTGCACCCAAAGGAGAGAAAGCAGTGATGTGAATGCCCTTTCCCTTACAAAACTCTCTCAGCTTCTTTTGCTGCCAGAGTGGGTTCATCTCCACCTTTTTTTCATAACACACAGCATAAAAGCATCAAATTCTGGCCGCCCTTGTACTAAACTAGGGTGAATTACACCAATCATCCCTAAAATATGCATTCAGTTTCATTTTGGGCTACCCCAACTTTGGATTTTTGTCATTCAAGTATACCTTCTCAAAGTATACTGGAAGGAAACTGAACACCTCAATTTTCAATTGTGTCATTTTTGTATCCAAAGTTTCCAATTTATTTTTCAAACGGTCCAATCGTAACCTTCCGTCCAGAAAAATTAACGGATGCCTTTTGAACCATTTAAAATCATTCTAAAAATATCAACTAAAAATAGTTCAGTTGCAAGTTGTGAGACCAAACTCAAGGCATACTCTAAGTAACAATAGATGCTACTATGTATGCAAGTCATAATTTCTGACCTAAACTTTGAATAACTCACCTGATTGATAGCTGGAGGGATTTTGGCAATTGAGAGGAGTTCCTCTAGTTTCTTGCAGGAGAAATTACTGACACCAATGGCCTTGGTGAGGCCAAGTTTTTGACACTCTTCCATGGCTTCCCAAACGGACTTGATATCCAAAGGATGTATGATTTCTTTAGGAACAGGGGCCCCACGCATCATTTCACTCAACCTTAGGGGCCAGTGTATCAGATACATGTCAACATAGTCCAATTGAAGGTTTCTGTGCACCAGAACACGAAACAGCTATTAAAGAAAAAGGATTGACACTATGTACTAATTTTTATAAGATAAAAGATGATTAAAGCTTGTGAAATTTCCAGGGCTCCTAATTTGTCCCTCAATTAGGTTGTGTGTGAGTGCGATTGCTCTTATTGTCAAAAAGATTTGTAAAGGGGAGGAGTGAAGTTACTCACTGGAGGCTCAGTTTACAGACAGGAACGACCTTATCACGTTCAGCGAAGCTACTCCATAGCTTGGTGGTGATAAAGAGCTCATCGCGGGACTTGATGAGGCCAAGGCTTAAAGCTTCAGCAATGGCTTCACCGAGAGGCTTCTCGGATCCATAAGCAAAGGCCGTGTCAAAGTGCCTGTAGCCTGCCCTGATGGATTCCAAAATTGCTGATTTCGCGGTCTCTGGATCGGGAGGAGGGTATGCCGAAGTGCCCATGCCTATCACCGGCATGGCCTTCTCACAATAACCCAAACTTACTTCAGGAACCATTGCCATGATTTTCTCTCTGATTCTTTCAAAAATTGAAGTCTTTGGGTTCTAAGATACAGGCTCTTGGTCCCTGATGGCAGGTGGTATATATGCAAAGGGGGAGAGCAGCGACCAGTTAGGAGAGAGAGATGAGTATTTAGAAAATGTCAAGAGTGCTGCACTGGTTGGTAGACTTCGGTAGAGTTTTAGTAAAGAAGTTATTATTGCGATAGTAAACTAAATTAGTAAATTAAGTTTGAATTACATTATTCAATTTTGATTCTCTCTCTCTCTCTCTCACTCTGCATAAGGTACTAAGAAAACACCGATCTAGGTCTCATACACTATTTTTCATTGGTTCCAATTTGAAGTTAAATAAGTAACAAATATCTAGATCTTGTATAGTATATTTATTCACTTATTATGCATTTGGGTAGAGTCCATTATAACTATATATATATATATATATAAGGGTAATTCGTATTTAAAAATATAGTATAATGTGAATGAATTTGAGAAAAAAATTAGTGACCGTTTGAAGAATTTATTTGAAATCGTCAGATGTGTTTATTGAAATCTGTCATATATTATATTATAGATATATAAATTTTTTATGAATAAACGATGACTAATCTATCACCGAGAGAAATTATAAAATATAAGAGGGGATTAAATCTGAAAAATACCAAGAGAGCTTGCCTTGGTAGGTAAATTTTCCAAGATAAGGTAAATATAAGTGATTGGTAGGTCAGCAGTGGAGTATTTTTTTGTTGATGTTGAACATGGGCCCGACTGCACTAATTATCACTTTTTTATAGTAGACAATTTAGACCATTTAGAATAATAAATGGCAGGACAAAGTGGACCATTGACCAATATGCTGCAACAATTATAGTCCATTGAATATTGGGTGCTATCCCTCGTACTAATAAAATAGTAACATCTTTTAATGCAACCAGAGTTTATGTATTTTAAATTTTAGAGAGAATTACGTTCAAATTTATAAAAATTTGTGACTTAATTGTTCAGCTTCTCTGATATTTAAAATATTATATACAAACTCTCTGAAGTTTATAAGTGCGTAAAACTTAGACTCTTACTGTAAATATATGCGTTAATAAATTAAACCAAAATTCCCTGAAATTTATAAACATATATTACTTAAACTCTTTAAGTTTCAAATGTTATATTTAGACAAAAAATACTTCAATCAAACATAAAATATCAAATATTTTAAATTTAATAATTAAAATTCACTTTCTATTATTTCATTTATTGAAATAAAATTACAAACAAAAATTGAATTTTTTCTTAAAAAGTCGTAATTAGTATACAATTATATTGTCTATTGAAATTTAATTTGATCGTTTAAACAACCAAATTAAAATATCAAACTACCTCAATTAAAGATAAAAAAATATTGTGTCAATTACAATTTGACCCCTTATTTAATATTTTAATCTTATCTAATAGATAGTATAATTATATACAAACTATGATTTTTTTTAAAAAACTAGATTTTTATTTTTGATTTTATTTTAATAAATTACAGAATAGAACATGAATTTTGAATTTAAATTTTATGTTCTTATAATAATGATTAAGACCCTTTGTTTGATTTTTTAGTTTTATTCCAATAGATAATATAATTGTATACTAATTACGATTTTTTAAGAAAAAAGTAAAAATAAAATTTTAATTTTATTTTAATAAATGATACAATAGAACACGAATTTTAGTTGTAAAATTCAAAATATTTGATATTATATCTTTAATTAGAGTATTTATTGTCTAAGTATAATATTTTAAACTTAAGGGATCTAAATAATATATACCTACAAACTTTAAGGGAGTCTAAATATAATTTATTAACAGATATATTTATAATATGAGTCTAAGTGTTATGCGAGTGAACTTTTAGGGGTCTGTGTATAATATTTTAAATCTTAGAGGGTGTGAGTGATTAAATAATAAATCTTAGGAGGTTTCAGTGTAATTCTCCCTAAATTTTATTAATTCTAATCGACTTCAATCACCTACTTTTATTTTTGTCGGACCCCACCGATATAAAATGGAACGCCAAATTACGAATATCGCCAACGTCAAAATGTTTTCTTGCTCATTTTTCCATTGGTACGAAGATAAATTGTTAAAAATAAACTAATCGTTTATTGTCTAGTTGGTTACCCTTGATATTCTTAATCAAAACGTGAGAGGTTAGTTATTATCAAAGACAGATATTATTAATCTTTTGTCTCTGTCTCTTTAGTGATATAACTATGTTCTTCTTTTTCCTCCTTGTATTCTACTTTATTTCGAACTTGTTTTCCTTTCTACTTCACCTTAATAGTGGTTCATTTACATTTTGCTTTGATAGTGGTATCTTATATTCTTAATAGTAATCCATTGTTGCATATATAAAAATTATTATAGCAAAATAATTCTTGCTAATCTTAATAATATAGTAGTTACATGGTCTAATATTATTATTATTATAACAGTAATTTTTGGAGTTCTTCATTGATACTCTATCACTTGACACATCATTAGGTTAATAAATTATATCAATTTTTTAAGTTCCAATAACATTAATAAAAAAAAAGAAAAAAAAAGGCTTAGATGAGCATACAAGTCGGGCAGATGAAAAGCTAGGTGTCCCAAGCTTCGTTACAATGATCTACCCATGAAACATATTGTTATCTTGAAACTGTGGGATCTGCAAAAGAGAGACTGTTTTCCATCATGTCTTCATCTCATTTTGGTTCTGTAGTGGATTTATCATTCATTCCACCATTATCTTGTGAAAAAAAAAATATGATTGCAGAAATGTCAATTATCCAACTATCGGGCTAGCCTATTCAAACCCAAAAACTACCCAATGGGTGATCCACAGCCAGCCATGTGTGGTAGTCGGGCTGCCCATGAATCCGGCGGGCTTTAGGGGTGGCCATTAGGCTTGGGCTTTTACCAAGCCCTAATCGAGTGTGCGTGTGTTGCCCCCAGGGGGGGGGGGAGGGTGGAACAAATGTGGGATTGGGCTAGGGGGATATTGGTTGGAGGGGGAGTTGCAGGCGGGATAGTTAATTTGGGTAAGTCAAATGGGTTGATTTTTTCGAAGTCACTTTCGCATACATGACTTTTAAAACACCTATGCCCAGTTAGAACGATGAGGCATAAGGCAAATTTTGGGCAAATTCCTTCATTTAGGGTCTAAACAACGCGTTTTTGTCCTTTTTGGTAATCTTTTATTGTTGAATAACTTCATTGTTTGAAGTCAAAATTGATCCGCGTCAATTCTACTTTGATCCTGGTGATTAGTAGTTTGGGCAAACTGTTCCTTAGTGGAAGCTCTTCAAACTTTTGCTTCCATTCTCTCACTTCATTAACCTATGAAGAATTCAAAATAAACTTTAGTTCATGAATTTTAGATTTTTCTTTAGCAAATCCAAATTCTAATGCTGAAAAATCAAACAAACAAGATTCAAGTAGATTTGAACTAAATGAGCCATGGAATTGATCATACACAATAGACTCAATGAAGTTCACTTCATGTAAATGTTCTTCATCCCTTGATTGTTTACAAATATTGAAAATATTCAATTCCAAAGTTATATTGTTTGAAAAAGTTTCATAACCACATTCTTACAATTTATCAAAACATTTGTAGTGACAAGGAATTGGTGGTCTAATATGATTGAAATCTGAGTGTTTGCATTCAATACAGAGTGTGTATTCAAGATAATAAAATCATAAGGGAAATACCAATTATCTACTTGGACTAACATATCCTCCACCACTTCTCTCGATACCTTCACAAAACGATCAACAAATTGAAAAGTTATGGAAGTCGGTTTCAACTCTCCAAGACCTAACTATTCGTATATCAAGTAGGGTAAAAGATTGACACTGGCTCCCAAGTAAAGTAAAGTTTGTTCAATTTTAAAGTTTTCAATAACACATGAATAGTAGGTCAACCACGGTCCTTATATTTTGCTGGGGTATTTTTTTTAAATGATTTCACTCACTTGTTTATTTTAGAATGTCTTTTTTTGCATGTTAAACCTATGCTTAATAGCACATAAATCTTTTAAAAATTTAACATAATAAGGTATCTGTTTGATTGCTTCTAGCAAAGGGATGTAACTTTCTTAGAAATTTCAAAAATCTCAAAATGCAAATTAGGCCTTGCCGGTGGCTGTAACCACTGGGGAAAAGATGCGGGAATGAAACATTTCAAAGCCCCACTGATGTAAAACCCGAAAAATTTAATAAATAGGTAATACGGTAATTAAGCTGTTTAAGTAAGGTTAAAAATCTAAAATTTTATATAATTCAGATGACGAAACGTACTTCACTGTTGGAATCATCTCGTGAAAACGAGTCGGACATACAAATTTTGTTAAATTCTCAAACAGTCAGAATTTTTACGTGTTACAAGACAAAATATGCGATTGGGCGATACGTGATTAAAATTCCAACAACTGGGCTTTTATTTGTGGGACTCACAATATAATTAAAATAGCTACTCAATTAACATTATCCAAAAACATGACACGTGTCAAATGTGATTGGATCTCTAGGATTTTTTACCACTCACATTGTGACACTTGGCGAGCTTTGTACCTAGTATAAAAAGGCCCAAAACGTGAAAGACTTGTCTTCCAATTTCCTATGCTTCTTGCAATTTCGGTGGAGGGAGAGAGAGAGAGAGAGAACTCCCAACTCTTTACTCTCTTTTTCTTTCTTCTACAAATATCTAAAAATTCAATCGTTGGATCTTTACTAACCAATAATTAAAGTTACTCTATGTGACGAGGGCTATACATCAACGCCAACAAGGACTAGTTTTTACCAACTTTTAGGTCAAGGGTTTTGGCTAGAGCTTGAAGAAGGTTTTATTGGGTTTTCACGGGGTTTTCTTTACCACCACTTGCTTCTATCTAGAACTAATTCCAATGTAGTGCATGTATATAACATATGGCTAGTGTAGCTAGTGGATTCTTTTATGGATTGATGAGCATGTTATC